TCGGGCCGCCGGTTCAAGAAAAGTGGGCCTGGGACCGGCCCGAGGGTTGGACGGGTCCGGTTTGGGCCGGGCCACCCGCCCGGGTCACGGGTCGGGTCCGGTTCGGGCCGGGCCGGTTAATTTTTTTTTTATATAATTTATATTTTATAGTTTATAGTTTTATACGAGTATTAAAAACAAACTTCAATTGCATTTATTTGAAATGAAATAGGAACTACATTTGAAAATTAAAACAAACTTTAAGAGATAAACATTTTGAAAATTGTAATCAATCGGAACTTCTCGCACCTCCCGATCCTTTGCTTTGTCACATGACTTCATATGCTTGATTGCCATCCCGAATCCGCCTGAAGCCCCCATGATACATTTTTTTCCGCACCATTTGCAAATTGCGTACCACATCCCGATCTTCGGGTCCTTCTGCTTATCAAAATTATATCGTATAATGGCATTTTGATTTTCCATCTTAACTTCTTGGAGAAGAGAATTAGAGAGTAGATATATAATATATTGGAGAATAAGAGAATTAGAGAGTAGAGAGTTAAGAATAGGATTTAGGAAGAATTGGAGAAGAGATATGAAAAAATGTTTAAGATTAGGAGTATTTATAGGTTTTTTTACCCCCCACCCCCCACCCCCCCCTACCAGCCAACCCCCCGGACCCCCCCCTTTACCCCACCCAACGGCTATATAGCCGTTTGGGTTGTCCCCAGCCCCACCCCCAACGGCTATTAGCCCAAGATTTAATTTTTTTTAAAAAAAATAGGACCGGACCCGGGCCCGGGCCCGACCCGGCCGGGCCGGGTCACATTATTCCAGCACCGAGCCCGCCCCGCCCCTTCCCACCGGTTCGGGCCCATACCCGGTCCCGGACCGCCCAACCGGGCCGGTCCCGGACCGCCCAACCGGGCCGGTCCCGGACCGCCCAACCGGGCCGGGTGGCCCGAACCGAATCCAACCCTACATAGAAGAATACGAATTAGTTATTAAGTCATACTCTGTATAAACGTTTGAATCACATGGATATAGTCTTATAAGCATTCAATCACCCTTTCTTTCTTTTTTGAGTTATGAACCACTCTTTCTATAATATTGATTTTTTATTATGAAACACCCAAGTCAATATGGACAATATATATTAGAGAAATAAACGTTTGAATCACTCTTTCTTTCTTTTTTGAGTTATGAACCACTCTTTCTATAATATTGATTTTTTATTATGAAACACCCAAGTCAATATGGACATTATATATGAGAGAAAAATACGCATCAATCTCAAATCAGACTTAAACAAACTAGATCAGACTAGACCAGACTTATATAGTTATAAATTACATAGAGACCAAACATTTATCAGATTAGATCAGACCAGACTCTATAATTAGAAAATACACAAAGACCAAACATTTATTAGATCACATCAGACCAGATTTAAACAAATCAAATTAGACCAGACTAACAAATTTCAGTTTAAGTATAAACATTCGTAGCATGCAGATACAAGATATCGAGACTTAAGAGCATTGGGACATTATTATTGTTCTTCCTCTATCATTTACTCCCTCCGTTCTCGAAAGATTGTCCTAATTTGACTTCACATATATTAAAGAAATAAATTTACTGATAAGTAATTTTACTGTATATAATAGTGCATTGTTTGACTCCGTTTTGGCACTGTTTAACATTGTTTGACACTGTTTTGCACTGTTTGATGTAGAATTGTTTACCAAATAAGGAAGTTAAAGAAGTAGGACATTCATTTAGGGGCTTCTATTTTGGGAAAGTAAGACATTCTTTCGGGGACGGAGGGAGTACAATTTATCTTTTGTGGCAAGTGTAGCATGCATCGGAAGCTACAAATGTGACACATATATCATTTCCTTTACATGGGATTCTATACTCTCAATAGTCATTCTTATTTTTATCAGCAGTTCGCAATTTTATCACACGAAGATTCACTATTGGGCATTTTGTGTATACATGTCTTCTGTCCGCACCATTACAAAATACAGACTTGCAGTATACAAAGCAATTTTGTACTTGTTCCTTTCTTAGATAATCTTATTTTTATAATAAAAACTTATTCATTTGGAGCATTAATTTTTTGTTGTAGTATAGAAGTGTTATTGACCATTGACCGATGTGGTTTAACTTTTACTTTTCAGATATCATTCTATAACAATTTTAATGAGTACATACATAAGTATTCAGTTTGTCCTGAGTAAAGATTCTAATGCATGTTTGACAGGTCAAAAAGTTCTACATATATACTTTTTAATAAAACATCTCACTTATTTATTAAATAGACTCAAATACATGGTAGGGGACTAAAGCCAAAACCTACCCAAATTTACGATGTACGAGTAACTAACTGCATCAAACTTGACAATGCCTACAAATTTATTATAAATGTTCGTGTTACATTCAATCAGGTTAAAGTACTTAGCTACGAAACTAGTAGCCCGATTCCATGGTTCATGAATATAACTAAAACGAGGATTGATATCTTGAAACCATCCTTTGAAAGCTTCCATATTTGCAAGCCCTAACCTTTCCACCTTGGTCGTGCATTTCCTTTTAGAGTCTCGATTACCTGAGAATTATCACATTCAAATTCAATGATATCATTAGTATGATTCTTTTCAATAAGTAAACTTTTAAGATTGATTAGCATATCGCAAATATTCACAGTTATATCTTCATGAAGGTGGGTTTCCGAAGTGTAGTGAACAAGATGTGACCATGTCAATCACGAATAATAAGACCCATAATAGTTTCACGTACCGTCCAATGGGTTGCTAAAGGCAATGTTGATTTTAGAAAAGGCAGTGGGGGGTTTGTCCTGACTAATAATCAGGATATTGCGCTTTTTAGAATTCAACTTCGATTTATTAATAACAATATCATTCACATGAGGGTTAGAAGCACTAGTGATAAACGGGTAGGCCACAATGACATTCCACCGCTCTTTATTAATAAACTTAATAGCCTCATAAATGAGAAGAATTTTATCATCTCTTTAGCATTTCTCCGATCCGTTTTCAAATGGTTCAACATATATAAATTGCAAAGTGACATTTAAGTTTGTTAAACTCATCATGAGCCAAGAACCAGTTATGTAAGATAGTGTTATAATGCGGATCCAGCCTTTGAATTATGGTATCGAAAAGATTTCCAAAATGACATCCTCCGACGAAGCGTCGCTACCCGAAAGGTTCATGCAACATCTATCGAGAATGCTACTTGATATGAATAATGAGATTTTTGTATAGAAACAAAACATTTTTAGATTGTGAAAATATATACTCCGTAACTTTTAGATGGAAAGTGAAAGCATTTGCAAATTCTCATTTGTAGAAAATTAATGTAATAATCTAAAATATGAGAAGAAAATAAAAACTGAAAGTCAGAAAACGATATTCGTTTTTATACATTCGATCTCATAAAAACGACATCATTTGGTAAACATGTGAAAAATATGGCATTACAAATATTGCGATTTTAAAGTGAGATTGCCATAGTACTGTCATAAAAGTGTCATTTTTTCAAATTATCAATAATTATGACATTCTCATATTAGAAAGTGACATTGTTTATGAAAATTACTACTACCTTCGTCACAAATTGATTTGAAAAACTGACTTATCTTGATCAAACAGATCCATTTTATTCACTTAATTAGGATGTCAATTTTTTATTATATTCTAATTTGGAATTTACAAGTTTAAAGAGATTTTAATATAGGAAGATTTCCCAAAATAGGAGGAAATATAGTTTGGAATTTCAAATTAGGATTACTATATTTTTATTCCTGAAATAAGACTAACAATGGTCGTATTTACTACCATCTTGTAGGTATGACTGTCAAATAGTTGCAGTACAGTACATTTAACATGAAAGTATTTATTATAATTAATGCCAATATTTTTCAATCATGATAATATTTTTTCATACATGACACTAACAACTTCTATTTCGGGAAGAAAAACATAATATTCCTATTTTGATGTTTCAAACTTCATTTACTCTTATTTAAGACAATTTCCCGTTAATGTAGTTTCTCAATTTGTAAATTTTAATTATTAAAAATTGAATTAACTATTACTCCCTTCGTCCCTCTATAATTGTCATATTTTTTCATTTTTGGATGTCCCACTATTATTGTCCCATACCATATTTGGTAATATTTGTTTGACTCTAATTCGTTCTTACTTTATTCCCACTTTATCAACACATTATCAACCACAAAATTTTAGGGGGGCGGAGGTAGTAATAAAGAGAGTTTAACTTTAACTTTAACATTTACGGAGTATTAACTATCAATAAGGAGAGTTTTAAATTGATTATGCAAATCAATTTGATACGGAGAGAGTATGTACCTAGAGTAGTATGTGTTCAAGAAACCGAACCGGCCCGGCCGGTTTGACCCGGAAACCGGCGACCCCGGCATATTACCAGTCCCGCATGTAAGAAACCGGAAATGGTCGAAAACCTGTAGGACCGGTCAAACCAATAGAACCGGTCAAAGTCCGGTGAAATTGGCGAAGAACCGGTCAAAATCGGACAGAAGTGGTCGACTGGACACGATTACAGCCTCCATTTCCTAATTCACAGTGATGGATGTATAGATAAAGAAGATGACGAAAGGAGGGCTTCATTCGATTTCGATACATTCTTTCAATTTCCAAACAAAGTGACGAGAAAAGTGTAGATCGAAGAGTACTAACGCCAACGGTTATTGATAGATCTCTGGTTTTGATTTCCTTTCACAGATTTGTGCTTAATAATAATTCAAGATGATGAAGAAGAAAACGAACACAACTCCCTGGTTCTCTTTGTGTTCCACTTCAATTCATATCATCATAAATATAATACTGTAGAATAGATTTGAGTTTACTGTAGAGTAGATACTGTTTGACACTGTTTTGAACTGTTTTGTATAGATTTTTTTGGCAAATAAGTCAAATATGGAAGTGTAAAGTTTAATATGGGACGACCCAAAAAAGAAAGTGTAAAGTTAATTAAGGAACACCCACCGATCAAAGAGATACATTCAAAAGAAATAAAAGGGTTAAACACCAAAACGAACACAAAAAACAGCAAATAACGAAACAACATGTAACGATCCAGGCCACCCACCACAGTACAGCGGCGGTCATAGCCGTTCAAGACAAAATTAATTAACCCGATCCATGACACAACTATAGCAACAACAACAGTAGTAATATTACGTACGTCCGTACTCAACAAACGAGACAGAGATTAGCGGCGGCGGGACTGAAAATAGCGGCGGTTTTGGTTGGTTGGACGGATTACGGCAAGTCTTCTTCGTCCAAATTAGTCATGGCCGCCTGATCATAATTATGATAACTTTGTGTAGTCTCTGTGGGATTATAATTAGTATTCCGATAATTATTATTGTAGTACTTCTGGTTGCTTTCTCTTCTCGTATCACTCATCCCCATGGGTTTATCCTCTTCTTCTCTTGATTCATTCTCGTCCTCCTGCCGCTGGTAATTATTCTGATGATAACTACGTCGTTTGTAGTTGGTTTTTGAGGTGCCATGGCTGTGTGGCGGGATATTGTCGTTGTTCTGGTTATAAGTTGCATAGATTATGGTGGCACCCGTCTTGTGTCGGGTTTGACGCGGCGGTGGCGGCGAATGAGTATTTGCGCTTTCAGTGAAATAGAAAGCGACATCTTCCTTATTATGCTCGTATTTCGCCTCCAATTCATCATCCGTCGCTGTAATTCTTGCGGCGCCGCCGGTTTTACTCTCCTCGTTGAAAGTAGCAGAACGGTAGTACTTGGAGGTGAGTTGGGAATGGGGTGGTGGGGGTGAGGTGTAGTAGAAGGGTGGTGGGGGTGAGGTGTAGTAGAAGGGTGGTGGGGGTGAGGTGTAGTAGGAGGATAGGTTATCTTGCTCATCCTGCGGCTCGTAATTTTTATAGTAATTATTTTTTGCACTGAATTCAGTGTACTTTACGGCATCGGAATTCTCGTCCTCCTCCTCCTCATTTGTGGTTGTGAACTTCGCCGCCGCGGCCGCCTTGGTATCACTATAAGCGTTGTTGGCAGCCTGCTGCAGCTTCTGCTGCTTCTCGGCGGCGGCAAGTCGCTGGTTCTCTTTGTATTCCGCTCTTAACACTTCATCCTCGTACAGTGCCTGAATCCTCTCCTCCATAGTCGTGGGCTCTTCGCGCGTCACATACATAACAGCGTTATAGTTCCAGGGGCGCCATTTGGGCTTGGTTCCGGTGGCGGAGGCTTCTTCGGAGGGGGCGGGGGCAGGTGCTCCCGCTAAGGCGGGGCCGGGGGTGGGGGCGGGCACTTCGACCCCGCCGACTGCTTGGGCGAGGGACTCTTTACTCAGAATCCCGTGCCTATCGTCCTCAATTGCCTGGATGAAGGTCGGCTGAACTTGTTCTTCCGACAGTGGCGGCGGCGGCGGTGCTGTCTTTGCGTCTGACGACGTTTTGAGGAAGAGCGACCTTGTTGCGTGAATGTTATAAGGGAGGAGCAGCAGGGTCAGGGTCAGGAGGAGGCGCGGGAAAATGATGCCGGAATGGTTGGCGGCGTCGCCGGCCATGGTGGGAATAGATCAAATCCGGTGGGGGTATGGTGTAGCCACCAGGTGCGAATTAACGTGCCAGTATGTTTGTCAAGATATGTTTCATTTGATCGTGGTGAGTTGGATGTCACTTCCATATATACACACGTATGTGTGTGAATGTATAAACTTAATTTCTTATTAAAGTTCCGAGTTTGACTTCACATATATTAAGAAAATGAATTTGACTTTACTGTGGAGTGCACTGTTTGGCACTGTTTGGCACTGTTTGAACACTGTTTGACACTGTTTTGCATTGTTTTGTTTCCTAAAATGGAAGTGTGAACTTAAATAAGGGACATCCCAAAAAGGAAAGTGAGAACTTTAATAAGAATCAGAGGGAGTATTAATAAAATGATATGAAAAAATAAATGTTGTAATTGAGATTTATTTGTATAAAATGAAGTGAAATTGTATGGATCATAAATTGGCTAATTGGCTCCCTTCTTTGGTTTCTTTACTTTATTTTAAATTGTTTATCAAAAGTTTTTTTTTTTCAAGTCTATACAACATTTCAAATGTAATTTTAATTTTACCTAACAATTCCGGACCTGTTTAAACTTCTTGAATTAAAAAATACTACTACATACATATGAATTATGGAGTATAACTTTAAGAGATTTTTCTTCAAATATTGCTCACATAAAATATAAAGAAAAATATTGACTACGAACTTTAAGTATGTCATTACAGTCGAGAAATTTGAACAATAGTATGCTCCTATCTTTTAAAACTTTGTCAACTCATTATTTTTTCTCTCAATAATTTTACTACTTTTTGTAATAAGTTGAGAATTTGTGGTTTCATTTAATTCTCTTTCTTCACAAATATCAACAGACAATATTTACTTAATTAACCTCCCAACCTACCGGTAAAACTTGATCAATTGTTGAGACAAAGGGAGTAATCACAAAAATTACTACTCTGTAGTATACATTTATAATTACTAAAGTATATAAAGTTTCTACAACTGCATGTATTAACCATTGTTCCTAACATTGATATTTTCTTATTAATATATGAAAATACCAAAGTAGGCTCGCAAAAAATTATTTACTTTTACTTAAATAAAAATGTATTACTCTCTTGAATTTCACATGGTTCCTAAGTTCCTATTACTACCTCTGTCCTCCTAATATTGGGATAAAATACTACGAAAAATTATAGGATTGACATGGAATTTGATAAGAATTTATCGATTTTCGTGCCAAAGTGTTTTTGTCACGGATTTGGCATATTCCTACCAAAATCCCTGCCAAATCCCTGCCAGAATCCATGTCAATCTCATGTTTTTTTTGTAGTGAAAGAGAATGATGTGATATAAAAAATAGATTTATGTGATTGATAATAAGTTGATAAAGTGAGAATAAAGTGATAATCAGAATCACATTAATATTATCAAATATATTATGAGAAAATTTAATGATGAAAAAGAAGAATAAATAAAACAATTTTATTGGAATGAAAGGAGTATATCTTTGAAAATTTCCTCGACATCATCCTTCTCTTTGGTCTCCGGTCTCCCACATCTGTAGCGCCGCGGTTATCCATGGTACATGCCTTTCCCTCCAAGTCATTCGATATCATCTTTCTCCCCCAACATTTCAACCTCCTCATCTATGGATTTTGAATTATTACCGTCTTATATTTTGATCTCATCATTAATTGAGATTTGAGAATCATTCCTTTTGCACAAGTCATACTCTTGTTGAAAGACGATCTTATCCTCGATTTCTGTCCATTCATGGCATTGAAAGCATTTGAGATTTATTAACGTAACTAGAAAATTCATTTTTTATCTCATATACACTAGTACACATTGAAATATAAATATATTCAACAAGTCAAGATATAAAAATGAGAAAACGAGTTAAACAATCACTGTTTTAAAATTAAAATTGCAAGTAATCAAAGTTCTTGGATATTGAAGATAGAAACGATACTCTAATAAAAAAAACTAAAATGTCTCATACAAATTTCTACCCTGGAGGTACTAATATCCAGGGTTAACATCGTCTTCTAGAAAGGTAGTCTCCAATCCAGGTTCATCTGTGAAAAGGTTGGCGAACTCATAGTACTTCTATATCCTCTATGCTTTCAAAGTCATCTCCACCAACATTCACATTTTACTTGTCGTCCATATACTTAGTTGTGTGCGAGATTAAAGCAAGGTAAAATTTATTTTTTATTTTGTTAATTAAGAATTTTATTATGTAAATTTTAGGTGTTTTTTATAAAAAGAGTTGATAGTGTATGCGTGGGAGATACGAGTATTCAAAATTTTAAAATATTTACAAAAAATTGAAAACTTTAAGTAAATTATCGATATAACCCGGGAACGTACAATATGAGTATTCTGGAGTATCCGATATATTAAACGTTTCATATACGCAGTATTACGTGGTGTACCAAATAGTAGTTTTTATTTGATGATTGTCATGTTTAAAGTTCAACGGGGGCATGAAAAGCAGAATCCGGAATTATTGGGAAATCCGTAAATCTTTTTGAATTATGACATTTCCTTTTTTTGCCAGGAAGTCTTCGATGATACGTTACACGACGATATATTCATCATTTTTCTATGATTATATTATTTGGATGAAGGTTTCGGAGGGAGGGAGAATTATGGAGTAGTTGTATTAAGTACGTAGTATTCCATCCATCCCGTTATAAGGTTCTCGTGGATAAGTAACATGATTTTTTAGATGAATGATTAAATAAAGTAATTTGGTTAAAAAATAGAGGAAATAGAAAATTTGACTATTGATTGAATTAAAGACGACCCTCTCTACCCTCATTGGAAGTTACTCGTACTTAATTCTCAATGGGCGTAATACCATAATAGTAGTATTCTATACATGTGTGCATATAAAAATTATATACGGCACAATTTAACAGTAATAATTTAAACTTGATAAAAAAGAAAAAATTAAATGGTTGAATTAATTTCAATTTAAAATTTGGAAAACAATTTTGTTCACCTCTCAAAAGAGGGTGAACATAACCCTCATCCTATTTGCTTGCCATGTGGCAAGGCAATTAGCGCAATTTATACCTTGCAACCGGCGCACCATAAGGATGGTGCACCCGGTTGCAAAACGACGCAACTTCAGTGGTTGATTCCATTATTTTTATTTCTTTTATTGTTAAAAATTGTAATAACTTTTTTATTTGATATCCGATTTTTATAAATTTTATATCAATTTTTTTTTTATATTTTTCATGATCTTTCAAATGAGACCAATATTGCTTATGTAATTTTAACAAATTATTTTGAAGTTACATTTGAGTTACATTTGAGTTAAAAATTATTTTTACATCTTATTGTACGCGAGTTACATCTTAATATAGACGAGTTACATCTTAATGTATGTGAGTTACACCACGAAATAAACCCCTGCTTCATCTTTCATTTTTATCATTTGAAAAATAGTGTATGAATATGAAATACAATATACTTATTTTATGTGGATTAATAAAATTTTGTATTAAATTGGCAAAGAAAAAAATCAATTCAGTTATAATTGAATTAGTTCAAGATAAAGATAAGTAAAAAATCACAAATAATTAGATATAACTCACACATAATTACATGTAACTCGCACATAAAAGTATGTAACTCGTGTATAACAAGATGTAACTCACACATAACAAGATGTAACTCACACATAATTACATGTAACTCGCGCATAAAAGTATGTAACTCGTGTATAACAAGATGTAACTCACACATAACAAGATGTAACTCACACATAATAACTTGTAACTGGAGGTTAAGATGATGTAACTTCGTATGTTATCAAATGTAACTCCAAGCTAGAAGCAAAATAAACAAACTCAATATCTTAAAAACCTCTAAAAACATATAAAAGTGATAAAAAAATATATTATGGAAAAAGTGTATGCATATAAAAATATATTACAAAAAAATGTATGAATGTAAAAAATTAAAATTACACAGGCAATATTGGTCTCATTTGAAAGATCAGGAAAAATAAATAATTTTGATATAAATTTTATAAAAATCGGATCAAAAATAAAAAAAATATTAACAATTTTAAGAAAAAGAGAAATAAAAAATAACAAAGGGTTCTACGGTATAAGCACTGGGCAATTAGTAATAATATTGCAATTGTTTTAACTTTTTGTTTTTTAAATCCAAATTGTTTTAAAAATATATACTTTTTTTTACAATCTTTCATATGGTACCAATATTTATATAAAAATAAAAAAAAAAGTCCAACTACAATTGAGTATGTAGAAAAAACGATTTTTTTTCAATTTTTTTGTATACAATATTGATACCATTGAAAAGATCTAAAAAAATTATTGTAATTTAAACAAAAAAAGGAAATGAAATATTAAACGGCAACAATCGACTGAAAAATTGTAGTTGGACTTTATTTAAGAAATCAAAATTTTGAAGACAAACAAAAAAGAAAAGGGAAAATGGAAACTAATAATCCAACCTTTCAACGGTCTTCTTACAATAATCTCACCTTTTAATTATTCATGAATAATCCAACCTTTACACCTCATCTTCATTATGTGATCATAAGGCGGGAATTATGGTATCATGTTTTACAAAGATAAGAAAATAACTTGAAATAACATCTCATAAATCGGTCAGGGACCATTGAATGAAGATGATGTGCAAATGTTGGATTATTTATGAATAATCAAAAAGTGAGACTATTGTAAGAATATCACTAAAAGATTGGATTATTAGTTTCCATTTTCGCAGAAGAAAATGAGCGAAGAAAATATATAGATTGAGATGGGTAACCCGAGAAATACTCCGTATTTCCCGGGAAATATTATAGGCAATAAAAGTCTGGGCAATGAAAATAGGGTGGGCCGGTTTACATTATTTTAATGATAGATAATAATGGATGCGGGGATTGTGGAGACTGGCCGGCCCGGCACTGAAAAAATGTTACTTTGAATTTGCGGTCATTTTCAGCATCTGTACAACGGCCAAATCACAAAATTGGTAAAAAAAAGAGGGTCGTTTGACGGATCGATAAAAAAAAAACCCATTTGAGACATTTTTTATTAAATTTGTCAAACGGTCCTCATTTTTTTTACCAATTTGGTAATTTGGTCTCGGTACAACTTACACGGAGTATGTATTTGACACCCATTTAACGTAATTAGACTTAAATAAATAAAATCAAACATAAAGAAAAAAAAAATTCAATCCAATTGAAAACAAGGTTCCATTCATAGATGTTAGACATATATAGAATTTTGTAATAACTCAAAAATTTACAACCAATTACATAATGAGCTTGTTTGGTAACCCTAATTCTCGGGTTATTAGGTTTATCCGTCAATTTTGCACCAACCATGTAACTTTTGATTTCTTGGATGAATAATATAATAATAATAAAAAAAAGATTGTAGTTACTTTTCTGGCCATATTGACTGAAATTACTCTAGAAGAACAATTTAACTATTTTTACACATAATTTTTTCTTTATTTTATTATTAAACTATATTTTAAATATAATTTTTTCAGAAATCAACAGAATCATCTATTTCAGTCATTTTAACCAGAATTTCATAATTTCAACAGAATGAGCCGATTTTGACATTACCAAACTGGCCCAATAACTTGAGAATAGATTAATGAGCTAAAAAGATTAGATGGAGCAATATAATTACTTTTGAATGTAAGAATATTTCATAGAAAAATAAAAGTGTGGGTTGGTAAAAAAGATGGCATTAATCAAAATTATTATGTTCCAAAAAAGAAGTAAAACAACTCCGTAGAAAGACTTCTGCTGTTCGTCAACTTTGTCACTCCGTAGAATTAGTAGCAAAGTAATTCTTTCACTTTTCTCGAGAATTCTTAAATTGTGGTAAGCGTGATTAGCGGAAAAAGTAAATCAGACTCCGAGATTAGATCAAAAAAGAAAAGGAAATGTTTGACGAAAGATGATCGAAGACCATCCAATAGATGAAACGACCATCGACGGAGAGGAACTGGGAGACAAATTAAATGAATACGGATTATAAAGGTTTGACAAATTATTACAGGAAATGATGAATAAATAAATGAAAATGAAAACCATCTAAGAAGGTACTACGTAAGGCAAATTAATTCAAGAAATTTTGATATCAGTAAAGTAAGAGGATACAAATTAAAAATCAAGACTTAGATTCCTTTGGTGAAGGCACGTCCTATCAGCAAGGGCCGAGATTCAGAAGGACTTATGGATGGCGATTGACGTTTTGTAACGTATTTTCGGTGTAGAAAGTGAAGACACGATAGAGAATGAGATGCAATATTGCTTGTCCGTCCCACCCACCTGAATTGTCGCCGTGGAAAGATCGTGTGACTTGAATTTAATTTGGAAGAATGGCACTTCATGTTTGATTTTGACGGCACGCTGTTTATTGCTCTACATTTCTTTTCATTTTTTTTATGTTTCACTTCAGAATTTTACTTTGTGTGTGTTAGTGTTTTTTTGAGGTGTTTATGGCCTTTATTTGCCTCGAAACTCCAATATGTTAAGCGAAAAAGTTTTGATCTATTTTAATTGAACTTTTTTAAGTCCGATTAGAGGTTGAGCAGTCTTTTCCAATTTCTAAGTGCACTTTTTAAACTTATTTTCCAAATCATGGTAGTTTTTTCCTTGTCATCCAATTTCGTCACATCATCTATTTGATATCATTCAACCACATTACAACATGCAAACCACAAGATTACCCTACCCAATTGATAATATTGCTCCTTTAGAAATATTTAACATCTAACTATCTAAGGAGTACACGATGAATGGTGGAGGATATTTCTCTCTAATGCTCTACAAATGTCTTCTTATTCTAGTGAATTCTAAGGATTCTTTACACCTCTACATTCTCTTCCATATGCTTCCATATTCTTCCGTAAGGTCTCGAAAGGTTTCACACATCTCCAGAATATTCCAGAGTGTTCCACAGTGTTCTAAAAACTTCTAGAGAGCTCTAGACTTCTCTAGGATTCTCTGAAAAGTTCTAGAAAATTCTACACTTCTCTAGAAAGCTATATAATTTTCTAGAACCTCTCCAATTAAGGAAGGATCACAACAAATGCACTCAACAGGATAAATTTAGCGATCATGGTGGTAAGTAGTTAGAGTCTATACATGCATGCGTAAGGCAATACAAAGCAACCCATAATCGGACTAGATCAAATCAAGTTTGCCCTGACTTTGAATATCCAGGGCCCAAATTACATTTTTGAATTGATGAGATTTACTATTTCAATAGAGGCAGAGCCAGGATATGATCGAAGGCCCTCTGGGTGAAATAATAAAAAGTAATAACATTTAAAATATAAATAAAATAAACATTAATTGATGTATTGGCATTCATCTAAAAAATTCAAACTTGGGCTAAAATTTACATTGTGTGAGTTAAAATTTAGATTGCTCTTGCATGTCATGAAAATCATCGATTTTTTTATACCCCGGAAGGCAAACCACCAAAATCAGTGAGGAAATGCCGGGGGACATTTACCGTTATTTTATTAATATATATTAGAGTACAAGGAGAGGGGAACAAAACCAAAATCTCTCATCAGAGGCATACCTCTGAAAAATACATGATTGTAAGTAAACAAATGAAAGTAAATGATTTTTTTTTGGGGGGGGGGGGGGGGGGGGGGCTAGACCTGACCCAAAAAAATAGAAGAATAAAGAAAATAATTATAAATGCAAATTAGGGATACCAAATAGATCAGCATAGTAACTGTATTTCACCGGATTGGGTAATTGACCCACACGATCAAAACGGATGACTTGGGCTTCAGGGAAACATTGACTCGCCGGTAAATGGGCCGGCCCATTTCCTTGTCTGAAAACATGATCAAAGGAGCACCCCTTCCCCGTCGCTTTTCTCCTGAACCTTCGAACCATAGAATGGTTTCCTGAACCGTCTGAGAGAATAGCCAGCGACCGAACAACATCCGTCTCCACCTGTATATCTGTAAGCCCCTCTTCAATCGCCATCTCCGTAGCATACATCAACGTTTTCAGTTCAGCATCCTCACTCGACGTCACTTGTAAATGGAAGCACGCAGCCCATATGAGCTCAGCCAGATTGTTCCTTAGAATGGCTCCATCGGTTGCTAATCCAGGTATGAACGATGCATCGACGTTCAATTTGTAACTTTTAGTAGGTCTTTTCCATTTAATTAATTGAATACCTGAGTTGTTGAACTTGAATCTACTTGAAATTAACCGTTCTTGAATTAAGAAGCTTTCCACCTTCCTCCTTTTTAGCTGGGCCAGTTTGAGAACTCATTGTTGAGTGTAAAGTTTGATTTGAGTGATAAGATGATCAAACTCAGGAACTGAACCACCACCCCAAGTATAAGAAGCATATGTTTTCCACAAAAACCAACAAATAATACCAGGAAAATTGTGTTTTTATATGTCAGTCGTAGTCTTAGATTCAGCCTCTAACCACCAAATGATTAGAATCTGTCTAATGGAAGAAGTACTAGGCATATTAATTCCAAAAATTCCCATGAAATGCTGCCAAATTTTCTTTGAATAAGAACACCCAAAGAAGATATGATTAGTGGTTTCACAGCTATTCCTACAAAGAGGACATTTAGAGGGTTGAAGAACAATCTGAAACCTCTGAAGGTTATCTGATAAAGGCAAATAGAAATTCAAAAGCTTCCACAAGAAAACCTTAATCTGCATTTGCTGATGTTTATTCCAAATGTGTTTATCAGTGAAAGTGACTAACCTGTGCTCTCTAACTTCATTGTATGCAGATGTCAAAGAAAAGGCACCATTGATCCCAGGATCCCATTGCAAAGAGCCAGATTCATTGATAGAGCTAAGGCCAGTAGCAATTTCATGAACCTCACAAAGTCTCCTCCAAATAGTAGAGTCTGTAACTTTAGGTCTCATATGAACTCTAGGATACTTAGCTTTAATGAAATCAGTCCAAAGAGAATCATGGTTTTTCCACTTCCACCATAACTTCAAACTAAAAGCCTTCTGAACATCATTTAAAGCTCTCACCCCCAGCCCCCCTTCTTCAGTAGGGTAGCAAACCTTTGACCATCTTGCCCAATGTATTCTTTTTCTATCTGAAGATGAACCCCAAAGGAAAGATGCCATTTTTCTCTCCAAAAATGAAACCACTTTCTTAGAAAGCTTGTCAGTTGCCAGAATATGATTAGGTATAGTATTCAAAACATATTTTATCAGAACTAGCCTCCCACCTTGAGATAGATTTTTCTGCTTCCAAGAGGATAGTTTTGAATCAAAATGATGAATAATATGAGTACAGTATTGATAACTATTCATACCTTTATGCAGGTTTGCTCCCAGATACTTCATGGGCAGATTAGAATTCCTCATTCCCAGAATTCTTTGCATAACTGATACTTTGCAAGTAGCTTTCTTCCCATTTATGAAACTACTCTTATCCAAGTTAACTGTTTGTCCTGAGGTAGATTGATAGTCATTGACAAACTTTTTAAAATTAACTAAAGACCTTGCATCACCATTGATAAAGATCAATAAATCATCATTGATGTGAGTTTTCTCGCACTTAGAGAGATTGTAGAATAGCGGTGAAAGTACGAATATCGTCTCCACAGGGACGGTAAAAAGGGAATTAAGGAATAACTAAAATCAGCGATAAAGAAAAGAAATAAAATAAATGCAGTCGTGCGAGATTTGGTTGATTGAGAAAACTAAAATTGCAAATAAACGACTAAAAGTAAATATTTGGGTTCTTCTTAATTAACGACGAAGGGAACAGGGATTGATTCCGGGGTAATCATATTTCTAACAGATCACGCTTAATTACATGAATTTAATTTAATTGAGCCTAGCCAATCAATACTAAGTTCTTACCGCTCTCGCGGCGTAGAGTACAATAATTTAGGGGACCAGGCTGATCTCTCATGCGACAGGATCCTAAATTATTGTCAAAGCGAATGAGCTTACGACCCCTTAATAGCTATTAATCTCTTAGTGAACGATTAAGTGTGTGTGAATGTGTCCTAGAATAAATTAGATCTCTCTTAATTCATCCTACATGCGATTGTAATTCTAGTGGCCATCTAGGTTACAAAAGATATCAATTAAATTACTCAAACACAAATTAAACGGCATTCATGCAATTTACACCATCAAGAACCTAACCATACATCATGACTAACCCCTTCATCAATCCCAAATCCCTAATTAAAAATACTCCCGAATCATAATTGAAAAATCAATAGAATTGGGAAGAATAGAAATAATTGCAATTAATTAAAAAGTAGGAACTTACAAAGAATCTCAAAGAATAGAAAAAACCAGGGCTAAAAGCTCTTAAATTCGTCCTCCAGCTTCTAAATAAGTTCCACCACCCTTAATTAGGGTTATGGGGGTGGTATTTAAAGAAAACAAGGCAATTTGAGCTGAATTAGGAAAGATTTTGGGTACGCACGGCACCACGCACGTGTGCGTGGCGTCCGTGCGTCCGGCAGACATCCGCGTAAAAAGGGGGACGCACGTGTGCGTCCCTAGCCACGCACGTGTGCGTGGCTGGCAGTAAGGTCAAGTTCGTTTTCTTCATTGGATGCACGCGTGCGTCCTTGCACGCACGCGTGCGTCCTTGCACGCACGCCCGTGTGTAGCCCTTTCTCTTCCGAATTCCTCGTTTTCTCCCGTTCAAGTCCCCGTTTGGCCCCGCGATCAATCGAACAACTCTTTCTTCATCAAATCTTCATCGTGAATCTCCCGGTGCCCTTCAAAACTCTGAATTCATTCTCGAACACTCCTCAACTCATCCCGATCACTCCTTAATGCGCCGATACCGGGCCCTAAAAGACCTGATTTCATATCTAAAAATGCCAAAACTCGTTCCAACACCCAACTAACATGACTTGAGCTAAACATGATACTTATGACGCCTTAAAGCGAGGAAAACCATCAAAATCCGACTCCAACACGCATTAAAAGCGTGTTGAAATACGAACTTATCAGATTCCCCCACACTTAAGCTTTTGCTTATCCTCAAGCAAATCGAACAACGGGACTTACGATAATCACCACACGGAATTAAAACAGTTAGCATGCACACGTAGCTAAAGGGATATTCACAGAATAGACATTCTAAGCTTTGAAAATATTCCCTAAACTATATCTTTGTACTCTAGCTAAACTGTTTGACAAAATTATTCCCAACATCCTTAAAGTAATGACAGCGTACACTAATAAACTAGCTAGTGATCAGAAGGACTTATGAAGGTGAAGGTGAATGGTGAATGGTGAATGGTAATAAACAGTCCCTTTCTTTTTAGAGATTGGAATATTCTAAGAAAGACTTAATGCATTCAAAAACTTCAGGGCTATTCTTAGGATCAAGGAACTCAGTAGGCCACAATTTAGGAACGATCATCTAAACCTATGCAAAGAGTAGACATGGTGTACAACTAAGCTAAACCGTCGCGGCACATCGGTGCTTTGACGTATACTTGAACTACGCAAAGGACTAATGCTAATTTTACAAAAACTTCCAAGTTCAATTAATTAAGATCAATTTTCCTTGTCATGTTGGCACGAGAACGCCGTTTCTTTCGAAAGATACCCAAATCTCATCTTATTGTGCAGAACACTTACGCTTTTTGACCGGGGCTCCCATTCTCTTTTTCGCAAGTTAAGAGGTCTAGCTATATTAATTTTTCACCTTTCAGATTCTTACTAGACATTACCCCATTCTAATCTCGGCCTCACCAAGGGAAAATAGCAATTAAAGTTCATTAATTTAAAAGTGAATCCATGTCTACAATGCAATCCTCGAAAATATCAAATTCCTAAAAAAGTGACTGCTCTTACCCCATTTGGAGCATAGGAACAGTGCCAAAATTGGTTCCTACACAAATTCCCTAAACTTAGCAAATCAATCCCCTAGTTCCCTAAACACCAAGACTTTGTCAGAAATATTCACGGGTATGAAAACAGGCCATTTGGCTATGGAGCTCAATTAATTGGGTAAAGAATAAACGGTCAGGCTCAAAGGGAAAGGGTCACGCGTGCTCAAACTTAACTCAAGTCAAAATTAAAACGGGTGTATGGAAGCGAGTAAGGAGCAGAGAAACTCCCCTAGGTCATTTAGCTGGTCCTTCCCTCTACCGCTACCTCGTTCCATGCCGCTAAGTAAGATTTTCCCCGAAACATAGCTGCACTCACAAAAGAATAGAAATACAACATCCACAAACAAGAGTGACAAAGTAATAAAGTGTGCGGTGAAGTAGTGTAATAAAATGTCATGTAACAATCTAAAAAGGTGGAGGGGGTGGGTAGTGCTCGTCAGTGTGCTGGCCATCCCATCGAATCTCTAGGGCTGTCAGCCGCGTGTCGATCGAGGCTAGGCCAGAGGTGATGTCAGCGAAAAACTGCTGCTGGTGCTGGTAGAGTCGCATGTAACTGTCTTCTTGATGCTGATGCATCCCCTCCCAGGTGTTGGGATAAACGTAACCCTGGGGAGGGGCACATAAGGGACCTCGTGCGCCATCTCGTGCTCCATCTCGTGCTCTCCATGCTCGTGCTCTCCATGCTCATGTTCTCCATGCTCCCCATCCTCCTCTTCATTGTCTCCATGCTCCCCCTCTGCCGCTCCTGCGCCCTGTTCCTGCGCCCTCACCGGGATAATCTTAGGCAGCTTCTTCATCAGATGGGTGCTATCTATCCGGGTCATCCCCTCAAACCGATCTTCGTACCCCATTCCTTTCAGCAGGCGCGTGATGTAAGGGCCGACGAAAATCGCCTTAACTCGATAATTAGCCTGTCTGAGGAACAGGCCTGCGAATAGAGCTCCAAATATCGGCCTCCTCTCGTTGATCATGCACCAGATACAAAAAAGATCAGTTGCGGAGACTTTGCCGCTAACCTCTGCGCGTCCTGAAACAGTAGAGCTAAGGAGGGCATGGACCACCCGGAACTGGAATGGGTGAAGTGCAGTGCTGGGTGCAGTCTGGGGTTTGTAATCACCTGCACTAGGGACTATGGATTTCCAGAAGTCTTTCCGGTTTACTTCTGGGGTAATGTCTAGTAAGCTCCCCTCAAACCGGGCCACGTCAGGTAGAGTATTGAAGCTAAGATGTGTTGAAATGTCGCTCACCGATATGATGTGAGACTCCCCGAAAGCTCGGAATTTGATCACCGGCAGAAAAATGTTGTCAAAGGTCTTGGGTGCCTTGAAAGAAGACAACACCTCACATATTATCTCTTTGTATGTGGGCTCATCGATGCCGAAAAAGAGGTGCTGCCACCAATCACGATGGAGGAGTTGCATGACTTCATCCCGTATGCCGGTCTGCCCTAAGGTGGGTAGATGGGGATACAATCTTTGACCCACACTCATGTTCATCAGCTCGTCATATTTTTGCCTTTGTGCCTCGTCCACGAACTGAGGCATATATGGGGCAGCCGGCTGACGGCTCCCACTTTGTCCAGCTCGGCTTGAGCCGGCCCCTATGCTGTCCCGTTGACGTTTGGAGGTCTGTTTGGTGCGGCCCATCTGCAAAAAGGTTTAAACAAAGGAATTCCAACGGGGCTTTCAAGTGTTAGAATTGAACAAAATTATAGAAGATTAATGGCCCCGTCAGCAATTAATCAACCAAGATCATCATTAACTAAAACAATCCCAAGTTTAACCAGAATAGTTGAAAAATTTGAATTTGTATCAAAGAAGGGTTCTGTGAATAAAATTCAAATTTTCAACGACACACGTTATAAACAAGATCACAAGCAAACATCGTTTATTATCCCAATTGTTTAGAAGGAAATTCTTCCCAAAAGAATTAGAAGGAAAATTAAAATTAGGGAAAGAATTCCCAATTCTCAAATTTGACAAAGTTTAGCCTAAACATTGGGGATTCATGCATAAAAGGACTCAACAAAATTCATAGATCATCACAAGCATTCATTCAACCTCAAAGATAGCACAGAAATAAAAAACCCCCAATTTATGGTCACATTGGCGAAATTTACCCTAGTTTGGCAAAATCAACTCGAAAATGAGGGATTTCAAGCAAAAGAGGCAAAATCATCCAAGTAGAACATTAATAGCAACAATACAAGCCTCAATTTGAACAAACAAAATCAAATCCCTATTTTTCGAGCTCATGCAAAAACGGACATCACAAAGCTTGAAAACACCATTAATGGGGAAAAGACAAAGGAGGAAGAGAATATTACCTTGGTTGGAGTAGAGGAGACAGAAGGGGTGGGATGGTCTCGGAGTTGCAGCGGTCGGCGGCGTGCGGTGGTCTTGGTTCGGCCATGGGTCGCGGGTACGGGGAGGAGCTCTGGGAAGTTTTGTTGTTTGCGATAGTGGAAAAGAAACCTGCGGTGGCTAGCGTTTTAAAAGACGGGACGCACGCGTGCGTACCTAGCCACGC